GAAAGTGAAGATTGAAAGAAATTGGCCCAAAATCAAATATGAAGCTTATCGGATGAAATTGACATAAATTTAAAGGTAATGTACCAATTTGAAACTCAAATAATTATTGGAGTAAAAGAAATACATGACTGAAATCACGGCTATGTTTGGTAGACCAATAAAATAGCTTATAGCTTATTTTGTTAGCCTATAAGTTTTCTATATTTAAATAAGTTTCGTTTGGTTTGGTAGACGATTTTTTTGACATAATTTCAAAATTGTTCCTCTAACTTGGCCACTTTCCAAAAATGCACCTTGTCATTGGCCACTTTCATTATGAGTCCTATAACTTATCCATTTAATCAAAGTTGGTCCTATTTTATCCGTCCCCAGATTAAAAATTGACATCGACGTGGCGTCACGTGGCATATTTTTTATCTGACATAGCGTGACATGACGGCTTGATCTGGATTTATTAATTCAATTCTGCCATGTGTAATAATTATACCCCATTGGAAATCAAAATATAAAAATAAAATCCCAAAAACAAAAATTAAAACATGTGGAAATGCCATAGTGGAAGATATTAAAACTAAAAATTAAAACCAACAGACAAAATTAAAACCAAAAGAAAAAAGAAAAAAAAAAGAAGAAAGATCGCGCACATGGTCTTCACCACCTGCCGCAGCTCGTTCGGCTTCGCGACGAAGATTGCGGGGAAAGTCTCCAGCAGGGAGGAGTACCCGTCCGTCGGGCGCCATATCGTGAACTCGCCGGCGAGGAAGACCACGACGATATAGCGTCCTCCGCCGCTGGCGGCGTCGGCGTTCACGTCGGCATACTCGGGTCTCGGTACTTCCGGCGACCGTCCTTCTCGCACTTGGACCTGCAGATGCCTGCGATTCGATCGATTGGAAATTTGGAACAAAAAAAAAAAACCAACAGCTCCGGTTGTTCTCCTCGATACCCTCCCAAAAAAGGGGCTGCCGTAAAATTCATTGGTTCTGGAGATGATGAACGTCATCGGGTGCACGATGGTCTAAGGAATTCAGTGGTATCTTCGAATTTCGATGGGTCACCGTGAATCGCCGGAAAATTGAGGATTTTGACCGGAATTTTCAAGATCTAAAAAATTTGACTGGAGCAATTGACTGCCTTACAAGTGGAATTTTCACCGGAAATTGTAGGAGGTGAACGAGGAGGAGAAGAGCTTCAAGATGATACGAAAAAAAATCAATCGGAGGTGACCGACCGGCGGCTAGCAAAGGACAGCGGTGGTCGGCGGCAAAGCGAATGAGTACAGCATTTCTGAAAGTTTTAATTGCAAGGAATCATTTTAAGAATTTAATAAATTTTGAGGACTATTGTGTAATTTTGAAAGTTTTAATTAATTTCAACTAAAGGCTGGAGATGATGTGGATTATTTAATTTAGGTAAATATTTCATAATCCTGCCACGTAAACTTTAGTCACGCCACGTCAGCTTTAAAAACGCCATGTCACATTTTTAATCCGGAGGGCGGATAAAATAGGACCAATTTTGATTGAATGAACAGTTTATAGGACCCATAATGAAGGTGGCCAATGGCAGGGTGCATTTTTAAAAATTGCCAAGTTAGATGACCAATTTTGAAATTATGCCGTTAGTTGTTGATTAGATTTTGCGTTTATATTAAAATAACATTTAAAATGAAATATTTAAAGTTGATTTGTAAAAGTATGAGAGAGATGATATGAAGTGATGGTTAGTTAAAATCATATGATTGAATGAATAATGAATAAAGTTGATAGTGTGTAAGAATGATTGCTTAATATTATTTAATTATATTGATAATATTGAAGATAATTGAAACACACCCTAACTTTTTGGAAAATAATTGAAAAATCCCCCCCCCCCCAAGTGTTTTATTTTTTTTAAATATAAATACAAACATTTAAAGGAAAGAATCACTACAAGAAATGTCAATTTTAACTAGACAAAAATTTCTAGCTAAATCCAAAAACTTCTAGCTAAATCCATTTACCTATAAAATAGCTAGACAAAAATTAACAGCAATCATTTTACCTACAAAGATCTAGGTAAATGTCTAGTTAAAATTGACATTTCTTGTAGTGAATCACATACAAATTTTTTTGTATACTTTTTAAATAATATTTTTTATTACCTTTTGAAATTAGGTATATATTTTTTAATAAGTATTCATGTAGTACATGAGTATTTACTAGTAAAATAAATAACACACACGTTAAGCATGTGGACATCCTTATTCCTTGTTTGATCTTTTGGCCACCTGGATAGAAAGGAATAATGCGAAGTATAAGGATATCTCTTTTTTTGTGTTCCCATATTATTTTGCAGGTTGACATACCTCTCTCTCTTCTCACTGATTTGGCCAGTCTCACCCAGAGAGACTAGACAGGCTGCACACCACCTCACTGCATTGCACCACCTCCGCTGTCGCATGTCCAGCATCCACGACCCAGAGTTGTTGTTTGGCTGAAACCTAAGTCTCATTGGGTTAAAATAAATACTGACGGAGCCTTTGACTGACTTACTGGAGCCACCGGAAGTGGGGGTCTGATCAGGGATCATAGCGACGCTCTTATTACCGCTTTCCATGCCCCCTTTTCGGGCTTTCTCAAGCTATGACGCAGAGATTCAGGCACTTCAGATCGGTCTTCAGATAGCTGCCTCGATCTCCTCCCATATTTAAATTGAGTTGGACATTGCCACTGTCATCGCACTCTTGACCTCTGGCCATCAGGGCACTTGGCAGATTTAGCATCCACTCATGCGGATTAGAGCCATATTTCAGTCGATTCGCTATCGGATCTAACACATTTTCTGAGGAGAACCGGCCTGCTGATTTCTTTTCTTGTATCGGGACCTTTTTCCCCAGAAAGGTACTTTTCAGCCTGACGATATTTCTCTCCGCCTCCGTACCTTGTACGGATTGACCAGATGGGATACACATCGTTCAGATGTAGGCCAATCTTTGGTGTTCCTGCTCCCTTGTGATGATGACTCTCCACCTGGACTCCTTTCGGACCAAGATTAGACTTTTTGGTATTATTTACTGGTGTTGTTTCTTTCCTTTTCTTGTTTCTTGTTGTTTTCGTTTATTTGAACTATTGTTTTTTTGGATATTGGGCTATAAATTTGTGACTTTTTAACTTATTTAGAGCCTTTTTATTTATACACGTTAGTGGTTCAACTTTAACACCCTGGTGTTGTTGTAAAAGAAAAAAAAATAATAATAAAAAAAGCTCTCTTTTTCGCAAGAGTCAAGTGCGTGCGTCGCACCGAATTATGCTCTAAAACCCTCGTCTGATGTGATAAACCCTCACCTCACATATTCTCACAATTTCCACACGAACGACTCAGGCAACAACAGCGACAAATGGCTTGGCGTGGCTCGATTTCCCGATCGCTCATGTCCACCGCTAGGGCTTCCGCATTCCGCTCCTCGCCGCCACTCTCCGCCCCCCGCCGCCTGCGGACTCCTTCCTCTCTCCCCAATTCGCGCCGTTTTTCGTTCTCCAATCCGAGGTCCAAATTTCCGAATCGCAATTTCTCCCTTCAATGTTGTTACTTCTTTGCTCAACATTTGTATCGATTAACTGTTATATCGAAGTCGAAAGATTTAAACTGATTTCATTCTTCCTTTTTTCCCCACGATTCTTTTGATCCTTTTAGAATTTTGGTTTGTCAATACGAGTTCAATTGCGTTTTTTCTTGAGCTTAAGATAGTTTTGTTTAATCGACTTTAGCCTGATTCGTTATGGCTTCGTGAAAGTGTTGCATAAAAAAAGTGAAAAATCACAAATTACAATGGCTGAGAAGTGTTTTGTGCTTAAGCTGAAAAACTAAAAGAATAATGAAAATTATCGAGTGGCTTGGCTCAACTCATTGTGTTTGCTCAATGTGCATGCAGGACATTAGGTGAGCTTGGTTGCACTCAATCACTAATGCCGCTGAATAGTATGGTGACGGGTGCAAGGCTGACTTCACACTTGGCTGTCAACATGCGGGCTTTTTGTGAGCTGTCCCATGGTACCTTCTGCCGTTCTTGTCAGGATCGCTAGTAGTTTCTTTGTGAGTCTAATGCTATTGAATTTAGGAAAGTTTCAGGGCTTGATAGATGCTCGTTGATGGAAACTTATTTGATTGATTTAACTGGTCACATTGAAATAATTTGATGAATAGAAGAGTAGAGTGATTATAAAATTAGTTTGATTTTTCGAAATTTAATTGAGTGAGTTGGAATTACCTGGACTTTTATAGGTATGGAATAGATTGGCGATTACAGCGTTAGAAGAGCTTCATAAGATTCAAAAGGCCGATGCTTGAATTTTTTGGACATTGGTATTCCATAAATACATAAGCAATTTAAATGATTCTATGTTTTAACTTGCTTTAAAATATAAGCAAGCCTTGAGCTAGAGATATCTGGTAGTTATGATTGGTTAAAATAATACCATTTTTTTTTTAATTTTTGAATTATGTGCAGTTCAGCTAGTATGCGGCTGTGATTTCAATGGTAGTTTGTTAGGGACATAGAGTAGAATATCATGTATTATACAATTTGATTGATGTTGTTCATATACTGATGTCATGAATCTTCTGCGTTTCATGTTCATACCTATTTAGCTGGATTGGCCAAGGTTCTGAAAATCGGAACCATCAAACCAATTCAATGGTTCAATGGTTTGATGTGGTCAAGCTGGAGTTAATTAATTAATATTTTTAAAATTATATAATATCTTAAAAATAAAATAATATGTAAAATATTAGTCTAAATACCTTGATAATGATAGATGCCTTTCTCCTTTTCCCTCATATTAAGAATATGTACTTACCTTGCATCCTAAAATCAGAGACACTCAACCTTCTCATCTTACCCGTATAACAAGGAAAAAAAATGAATTTAATGTGCCAATAGGACTATTATTTTGGGACAAATAAAGTATATAAAATGGGCTAAATTGAGATGTGAGTAGCACAATAATATAAATGACTAAAAATTAGTTGATAAAATAATATATACATGTGATGTCCAAAATATTTGAATATGTAATATTAGTTACGTTAAAAAACACATTAAAATTACATTATAGAATTAAAAATATGATTAAAGAAAAAGAATATTGGCCAGTTTAATTGCCTTTTTTTGGATGGTGGTTGGATGAGTGAGGTGACCAGTTCCTGGTCTAACCAGTCGAACCAGATGGTTTGAATGAATCCGGTCATCATAACTTAGCTTTGATATTACTAGGGGATCCATACCAAATGAGGAGTTCAATCGAGGAAAGTATATAATTTAAGCATAAAAGGCACAGAAATTAACTCCCCTATCAGACTCTTGGGTTGACTTACATTATTACCTGTCCAATTGGCTTTATGTTATGTTTTGAACTGTACGTTGATGTCCTTAGTCAAAAATCAAAGTTGCTTCTATGCGTGCATTCTATGGCTAGTGAAACCTGCAGCTTTATCAAAAAATATCCCATGTGTGCTTTTATGTTTTGTTTCATTCTTTGCTGCAAGTTTTCTATCTGCCAACATAGTTTTTTGGCATTGCAGAAAAAAAAAAGGATATACATACTCTTTAGGTCAATACTGACTTACATGATCCCCTTAACTTGTACCCAGTTACACTATTATCAAACTCTTTCTTGATTTGCCTGAATCTGGGGAACAATTCATCATTACTGAGCCTCACACATTATGTGGGGGTGAAAGTATAGCGCACATAATTCAAAGCGGCCACGAGTTGATGCATCACTTGCATAGCATATGAAGTGAATGCTACAATAAATAAAAAAATAAACATTGTCTGTATTTTCGCCTTCCGGATCTTTTCAGATCCACTATGTTAGTGCACATTAAGAAAATGAGTGGCACACGTGCTAATGCTCGTATGAAGTGGTTGACAACTCACCAAGCATATTCCAACTGGATCAACTTAATGTTCTTGTCTTGTAATTTTAAGTTTATGTTAAAACGGTGCTTGATGCAAATGGCGTGCAAAAACGCGACTACATTAGACCCCTTGAGTTCCTTTGAATTTCTACAACAATATTTTGTTCTCCTTGAAATAATGACATTATATTAGTTCAAGCTATTTTCATCTGTGCATTATGACTTAAGAGTTGTCCATGCGAACCTTTGCGTTTTGCTGCAGGTACTTGAACGAATTGGTGAAATAATGCATGACTGGCGCTCGATGGTCATGGGTCTTGGTAAACTGGTGTAGCCTGCTGAAATTTTCCTTAGGTAACAAAACCTTTGATTTCAGATTGTTACAGCAGCATTCTAAATACTTTTTAAGTGGTGCCTCTATACATTAGTTTTGTGGTTGTCATGGTTGACTTGTACAAGGATATAATGGTTTTTAGCATTCACCTTTTCCATTAGTAGTACTTGATATCCTGTGCTGCTGTATTTTTCTTTTTCTTTTTTAATTAAATTTTCTTTTTCTGTATATCGTATTTCTTCCAAAATTACATACCATATATTTTCTCAAATACAAATTGGGACTTGGACATAGGTTTGTTGATCTTTCACTAATTATATTCCAAATATGTTAATAGTCAATATTTCCCGGGATCTGATCGACCAGGTCGATTTGAAGATTTTTAATGCAACATTTTAAATTTTATGAATACAAATTACATATACATAATCATGTTGTAAATATTAGTGACGAGATAAAATTCTATTAAAATTTTCAAGCAAAATATTATGTTTAACTATTTATTTTTGTTATTTGATGTGTAATTATGAGAATAATTGTATAATTTTTTAAGTTAATATCGATTTTGCGATTAATTTAAGAATCTGAAGATTCAACTGGTGAATAGTAAGGTTTTGATTTGACTAAGTATTCTCATAGAGCATGTGAAAATATAATTTTTTATATCTCAACTACTGTTCATTTGATCTGAATTTTTTTCTCTATAATCCCACTAACAAAGATTTAAAAATAAAAATCAATGAATTTTAGGTACTTCCAATAAAGAACACTATCCATTCATTCAACATATAGTATACCCAGTAGTCAATATTAATATTATTTATTATTATATTTATTTTTATTATATATTAATTCTAAAAATAATCTTCTTTCTACATATTCTTTTCTTTCATTGCTTCTAACAAGACAATCAAAAATATAAACGGGAAGTTGATCTTGATCAAGAATCCCTATAACTATAAAAAAAAACCTATAAAAAGAGAGGAGATTCTACGGCCCCGTCACGTTCCATCGCAATTTGTAACCAATAGATCAACTATCCACGATGGTTACATGATTATCTAACGATTACAAATCTCGACAAAATGGTTCCGTAACAGGACTGCACCATTTCCCTAAAAAGAAAGTTGTCCATTCCTACCCAAAACCATAACAAATTGTTTATGTTTTTCTCTTTTCCTTTTTCAGTTTTAATAGAATAGCACGTTTTTCTCAACAAAAAATTCCACCTATACCGTTCCTCTGTATAATTCAACCCTTGAGGAAATCGAACAAGCAACATATATAATTCAATTTGAGAACTCTCTCTCTGAGGCTGCTTAGTAGAGAAATAGGAGAAAGGCATGAATACTTGGGATAAGAAGCAAAAAGTGCTCTAAAATTGAAAGATTACATTATGCACAACAATTCAATTTTTCTACCTACGGTGGCTACTGATTAATGTGTTCACCAACTGATGTGGCAAGAAATAACCTTACTACCAATACAATGTGGGTATCGAGTTAAAAGATCATGAGAATATACAAACCGTTATCACAAAATGGAAACGAAAAAGGCTAATCCCACAACCATTTTACCAAAAGAGTGAGTATATACAATGCAACTCACTCTACAATGAACTTTCCTTACCGGTCAAGTTCAATTTCATCATTACGTTGAAATTTTGTGCCGACAAGAATATCCTCATTCTTGTGAAAACTGAAAAAAGCTTGAAGGAATCTCAAAGGGCCAATTCATTGAGGCAACATATTTGAACTGTGCCAAGATGAGAAAAGTGTAACTTGTAAGAGCAAAAATTTTAAACATGGCTTCGCTATTGCGAAACGTAATTTGCAATTAGACATGCGAAAATACGGCGCCTAGAAGAGATACCTTGTGATCTGAATACTTTTGCCTCACAGCTTGTGAATCTGTTTCACTTTTGAGAAACAGACTGTGAAGTCTGAGCACACACTCTTCCAATTCACATGGTTTGTAACCGGTGTGCTTTTGCAATGCATGGGTCTGCAAAAAAAGTTTCAGGAATTATAAAACAAAATTAATTAAATTGAAGGGACTGTACTTTGCATGTATTTAGTTTAAAAGGCATAATCAGCAAGCAATAAATACTCTATGCATTAAAATGCAAAAATCCATCTGAGGAGCATATCAGAAAATTATAGGGTGTGCTTGTATATCAAAAAACTCAATCCGTACTCTATTCATATTCGAAATCTAACTTTAATTAAATCAAAATCAACTGAAAAAACTTTAATTATCCATTGCTTGTAACTAATTTTATTTTTTCTCATACTTTTACATCAAATCAAATGTAAATATTTTATTCTAAATATTACTTATAATATAAAATCAAAATCCGAGTAACAACTAACCATACCACTTGTTTTTTTCAAAATTAACTCTGGTTAACAAAAAAATTTATTTTGAGCGGATATATTTGTATCAAACACACCCTAACTAACAAAAATCTTTGAGGTTTGTGATCGTTTTAAACTTGTCCCTCTCGAGGACTGAATTTCGAGAACATAAACAATTGTAATCAGATTAAGTCTCAATGGTGGTTTTTGTAACTATAATCTATTATTTGACTAATAGCTAAAATAGAGAAAATTCTTCAGATGGCCCTTCGAGAGAAAAACAGGCTTATGCATTGCTTACCCATGGGTGAGATTCTGGCTGCATAATCAGTCTTGCAAGAAATATGACCGAGGCAGCCACCAGTGATGGAATGTAGCCAACACAACCGTAATCCAATAAACTTAGCTCCGAAAGATAATTACATAAAAAGTCAAACTGAAGATTTGAAAACTGTTGAGGGAGAAGAAAAAAGAAATCACTTGGTGAGACTTGTATGCAGAAATTTAATAAGCGAGGATATCATTTGCAATATAGATAAAGAGTTCAAAAGCTCATCCTACCACGAGTTTTTCCTGGGCAACTCCGGTAAAAAATCTGCAAAACTTACACAACCAGTAAGTTTTATTATTGAATAGATAAGCAATACATTTTCGTTTTACACACTCTGCTGAGCTGAGAGAGAGAGAGAGAGAGAGAGAGAGAGAGAGAGAGAGAGAGAGAGAGAGAGAGAGAGAGAGATATGCATTCACATAATGGATGCTAACCTGAGAAAAGTTTTAGTAGTTGGGTTACCCATCTCAAAATTTAACAATTTGAGAATTTCTCTCTCCATATTCATAACCTAATTAACACAGTAAGTCAGTAACAGATAACACACCTTTTTTACCAATTTACCACCACATGCATGAATGTCAGAACAACAAGCCATTGAATAAAAAACCGTCGAAACACGACGAACCTCATCTTTTGTGTACATATTGTCCGTCATATAGCAAAAATCCTCTATGTACGGGGGTTTGATTTCTTCGTATTTTCTGCAGTTTTCATAAACTGATATAAGGAACTGCAAACAAACAGATTATAATCGAATAAGAATCAGCAAAACCACAGGCTTACGATGCAACAAGCATGCAAGATACACCAAGAAGCTGAAGCCTGCTTCTGAGCAGCTTATGAGTCGATAGATATCGGTCAATATAGTTTACAGTGAGATAAAGCGTGTCTGAAACAAGTTTGTACTCCTCCGCAACTTCTACTAGCCAATCAACTAGCTTTCCCCTCATTGCTGGGTTTATGTCCTCCTGAACTTTCTCCATGTAATTAGACAAAGGTCTCCTTTTCACCTCACCCTAATACCACAAACATTTACAACTTAAAGAGATCAACGATAAACATTTTTTTGTTCGATTATTTAACAGAAATGTTAATGCATAAAAGTGGGCATGATTGACTCTGAGATTTTCTGTTTATTGGGATTATTAAGATAGAGAAAGGTAAATGGTGTGACATACATTATTTTAATGAAGTAGATAATCATAATTCTAAGATAAAAAATTCACCCAAAGTAGGTCCGGACGGGCAATTAATCTATGGCTCCCGAACTAAATTAGCTATCATATCAATCATTAAAGCAAAGCTTACCGGCATTACCAAATCTCAGGATTAAGTGTGATTCCATTGTTAAGCTTCATAAATTGAAGTTTTTCCCCTATGATGTACAACAAACAACAAAAGCACAGGCTAAACATCAATACTATTCCCACATTTGCTGATACGTCATAGAAACTCAAGCGCGCTCGATAACATAAAAATACAGGAAAACCAACACAAATATGTCTCCCATCATGAAATTTCATGATAAATTACCAGTGAAATTCAGCACCTATTAGCATAAAAACTTTATATCTCTGTACATTAATAAATGCAGCAAAAACACCAGAAAAACAAGATACCTCCAAGGAGTGCAAATGTTGAAATATCGAAGCAGCATACCCAACTTTTTGCGGCTGGTCACATTCCGTCATAACCTCCAAGCCCGAATTGATCCCATTTCCCGTCCTCTCGGAAAGGGATTCCGGGCCGCAAACCCGGGTTTTCCCCATATCCGAGTTCGGGCTCGGCCCGGACACAATGGATAAGGTGTTGGTGAGCTCACTCAGCACGACGCGCTTCTTATTCGCCTTCAGTTTACCCTCTGCTAATTGATTTGGCCGTTTGCGAGGTGCTTCAATTTCCATTGGAATTATTTGGTTTTCTCGGTCAGCCATTGACGGCCCTCCCTTCTCAGAGCTCGTTAACGTCTGGGTTTAGGGTTTTACGACCGTCGACGGGCACTGGAACTGCTTGTCGCGCACACTGAAATCTGAATGGTATTCGGAATGGTTAAGGGCGGAAAGAGAAGAGAGGCGATGAGGATGACGAGGGTTTCAGCTTTATTTGCGTATGATGATGATTTGGGTTTTAGGGCTGTGAATGGTGCCGCCATTTTCACTGTTCGAAAAGCTTTATTTTACCGCGCTGTTTGGTATCACTGTATTTTATTTTACATTTCTGCTTTGGCAAAAAGGGTTGAAAGCATAAACTTCATCAAGTTGAAAAAGTGACACAATTTGGCAGAGTAAAAGTCAGTCTAATTATAAGCTAAATGTGCATTTTCTTACTCTATAAAACTAAAAGTCTTGAAATAAGTTCTTTGCTCAGATAATACCTTATTTGATAAATATCAACTAGGGTGCCTACGGTGCAAACTTAACAGCACCCTCAGCTTTGTGCTTTTTTATTATCATAGGATTTAAAAAAAAAAAAGTAATATTTGTGTGTATTATGATCCAATGGTAATTAAAACACACAGCACCCTCGTGCTGTTGAGTTTGCACCGTAGGCACCCTGATCCGATAAATATAGCTTAAAAAGCTGGGTGAAAGCCTAAAAAGTACTACACAAACTACCAACTAGAGTTTATGAACTGGTATGGCATGTGAGAGAATAATGGTACTTTATTGGTATAAATAATGTGTAAGTATAAAAAATTATTGATTTTAAAGTTGATGTAATATATAAAATCGTAGTACTTGTTGTCTTTAGGGCCCATTGCTCCAAGATGCTAATGCCCCTAGGAGGATCCTCGATGTTTTTAGATCCAAACACTTGTATTTTACCTGGTTTTACACTTGTATTTCGTCGGGTTTTACGACTCCTCAAAATCTATATTTTGCAGTTTTATGTCATCACTTCTATGTGTCTAAGTTTTATATCATCACCTCTACTTGAATAGTTACTGAAAAGGTTGTTGTACTGTTCAATTGTGAACAGGTTGTTGTATTGTTCAATTGTGACACGGTCAACGGTCACCAGGAAACTTCAAATTTCATTTAAAAAAAAAAAAAGAGTGGCGGTATTGATCCAGCCACTATTTTATTCGGATAAAACTTACCATAATGTACAGGGAAAATCATGGGAGGTCCGATTATGATGATGCCAATTGCCAAAAACTTTGCTGGTAGGTTGTCAAAAATTCAACCAGAATTGTGAACATCAACAAAAACAACCCAGAATACGATAACACACATTATTTAGTAGTAAAGAAATGCCACTGAAACAAAGTCAAGAATGTTTCCAAATTCATCACACTAGACCCGAGCGCCCAGATACATTGTATTCCTTTTCTTTTTAGTCGGTCTTTCCCAGGAAGTGCCAAAATTAAGCACAACTCATCTCACCGTTTTGGTAATATCTTCAAGGAGCTTCCAGTAAGTTATACAGGATTTGAGGAAATTGTATCAGCAGGTGAAGTGAAAACTTTACCTGCATAACCTGTTATCATAATACTCCATAGAAGCCAAAACCAAGTTTCGAATTATACGATCGAGTGAGTCATTTGCTGCTGCTGGTCTGTATCGGGTACTATATGAGGTTTGAGGAGGAGCATACCGACTATAACATTTTATGCTACTGATTCACTTGGCTGGTGCTGGATCTAACTTACCATTACTGTTTTCTGTTTCCTGTTTGCCAGAGATTTCTTCATTTGTTTTACTTGCTGAATTTTCTTCTGTTGCCTCTGAAGGCTCAGGTGGCTTCTTGGTCGAATTTGGTTCCGTTTTTGGTTTATGATTAAAGCTCCAACGGGCATTGGAAAACCATTTACTGACCTGCGAGAAAACACAAACAATCAGTTGATGCAAATTGTTTAGGGGGTGCATGTTTATAAAATAATTTAGTCACATTTAATTCATACTCAAAATCCAACTCAACCCCACTATCTTTAATACTATTCATATAATTAAATAATACAACCTAATCATCCTTGCACATCATATCAACTTTAATTCACTATTCATTCACTCACATAATTTTAACTACCTATCATATCCAATCATTTATCACCTACTTTTACGTCAAATCAATTTAAATCATTTTATTTTAAAATATTATGTCAATACCTTCTTAAAATCTCATTAACAACTAACCATATTACCTTTTTCAGAATTAACTCTAGTTAACAAAAAAAAAAAACTCGTTTTGAATGGATTAATTAATAAACAAGGACACCCTTAGAGTGACTAAACGGGCAAAAAGGTATCTTGTGTTGTGTAGACCTGCAAAACAGTGATCCCCAGCTCTTGTGCCAAATTTTCTCTTACGGACTTATCAGGATATTGATTCTCGTTGAAGGACGCATATAGCCTCTGCATAAACACACAACTACCATGTGAAAACTGAGACAAAAGACCAAATGGCTAATACACAATGCTTTTTGAGAAACCAATAGAGTAACTATTAAATATACTGGCTCTAGTGTCTGATATATGTGTATACTATATATGTAAAGGTATTAAATCAACTTGCGATGTGATGGTTGGTAGATCATTTGTTCCGCCTCACGTGGCAAATGAATATATGGGTGCTGAAATGAAAGTTTTACAAAACTACTATGAAGCAATTACCAACTAGATAGGAAAAGAAAAAAGAAAAACTAATCCTTTACATTCACACTATCAAATATCCCATGTATGAAATGTGCAAGTTTGCATAAAAGAAATGTATCAAGGGCATCTGTAATAGAAGTGTAGGAAAAAAAAAAGGAAAGATCTAAGGTTTTGGTACTTAGTCTAGAACTCGAGAATCATTCTTACTTACAACAATATTATATAAATCAATGCACGTGCCTATAATCACAAACTGCACTGCCACTACAGAAATAAAACACATTCATCTATGCAATAATTACCTGAGTGGTAGCTTCCCCAAGCCTTTTAGGAGCTGGTCTTTTAGAACCCGAACTAGTAGAACCAACTCTGGTAGATGACCCATTTGGGCCCCCATCAGCAACCTTTCTCCTAGATCGTGTCGGTAATTGTTTTCTTTCTTTCTGGTTTTCACCATTACTGTTAATAGAATTCTCAACATCTGGAGTTTTACACTTCACTCGAGTTGTTGCACAAGAAGTTCTCCTCCTCTTAGGACTGGTTGTATCATCACCACTGGTAGCATCATCAAAATCCTCATCGCTCGAGTCAGAAGAAGAATTTCCAAATGTTTCCTTTGACAGATAAAGCATATGGTTTATAATGAGAGGTATCCCAATATAAAAGAAAGCGACTAAGAAAAGAACAGGATTTTCAATATCAAGGAATCATATAAATGGCCAAAATATCACTACTGATGCTTTAATAATAGCAATATTAGATTAATATTTTCTTCAGTTACTCTTTCAAAGAAACCTAATGGTTAATGTGATCTGCTTGATGCTAATCTAGCATTTTCGAATATCACCAGAATGCCCAGCTTCAAGCAGCCATACAATAGCAACCTGTCCTTTCCAATCTGATTTTATGATAAGGCATAATAAGATGCTAGTTTCAATTACATCTGAGCAAACTGCCAACCTTTACTTTTGAAATATCATATCTTATGAATTCCACTAAGCTTATCATAATAACAAGTAGGCAACTCTAAACAGAAACTCAAAAAGAAACAATGAAGTTGTCCAACAAAAATTCGTGAATACTATAAAATTTCGGTAAGACCTTCTCCTACCGAACACCAAAACCCATTTTTTGCAGTCAAGATTGCTCCAACCAACTCCAAACGCATCTGCAATTTGCGTTTTTCTCCTCTCTCTCATCTCCTTGGACGCATATTTGCGTCTGGATGCATAAATTGCGTCCCAACTTTTTTTTTTCATTTTAGTCCCTCCTTTTATTTGTCTTACCTTTCTTTTTTTCATTTTAGCCCATCTTTATTAAAATAATGTTTTGTTATATATTAATTTATATGTTTTCATATAATATTTGAAATAGTGAATATTAATTATATATTTTTCATAATAATAATGTAAATTACTAAAAAAACTTAATTTCTTTTAAATTAGATAATATAATATTAAAATAATAAATATTATAGTTTTCGTTTGATTTTTATATATTTTCACAATGATAATGTAAAATATATATATGATTTATCTTCTGTGTTGTAATTTTTAATTTCTCATCTTGTGCGTTCTAATTTTTATTTTATTTTGTCTTGTAATTTTAATTTTCTCATCTTTGTGCGTTGTAATTTTTAATTTTATATTGTGTGTTGTAATTTTTAATTTCTCATCTTGTGCGTTCTAATTTTTAATTTTAGCTTGTGTGTTGTAATTTTAAAATTTAAAATTTTAATGAATATTAATTTTTCCAATTTTATTATGTATATGATTATAACTTTATAATTAATCTATATCAATAAAAATATAAGGTTTGATTATTTTTTAAATAGTAACTATTTCCCGCCAAAAAAAATGTTGTTTACTAATTCTGGATACTATTTATACATTTTATGTTATATTTTAAAAATACAATTTAGGTAATTGCGGATATCTATATATATAAAAAAGGGTTGATGGAAAAATCAAAAATAGAAATTTTAAATAATTGTGTTGACTTTTTGACTTTCTATTAGTGGATTTTTGTTAAAATTTTAATTTTTTTTTTCTTACTTCACGTGTCTAATAGAAAGATTGCTGAATTATCTCAACAAAATTGAGATAATTATCTTATCACTATAAAGCATAAAACACTCAACAAAATTGAGATTCCTTTTTTCATTTTTCACGTTTTTCATTCCTTAATTATCTGCTTCACGTGTTTTATTTTTAATTATCTTTCACGTTTTTCATTTTTCCTTAATTATCTCAACAAAAAGCTACCATTTGATTGTTCGGATTTTTAAAACATCTCAAATCTTATATACATCTGATTT